TTGTGAATGCCTGCTAAGCACATGCACACCTTTATATACCAGTTAGATGAAAGCTGTCAAAATATTGCAGCTGTCAAAATATTCAATATTTCAATAACGATCATTGTATTCAAGCCAATTTTTCTTCTATTGTTGTAATCGAGATCCCTGTTGGCATCGAGTAGTCAACTGATCTGAAATCGGGCCGGGATGCTATCCAATGTCTGGGTCTGTAGAACTAGTAGTGGCTCGGCTATGACAACATTATTGAAGATAGTGCAGTCCGAAAAAAACCCGTGGGCGTTTTTACTAGGAGCCGTGTCTAACTTGATCCTTTTTGCCTGAGTTCATATATATTACGAATAGTAATGGTACAGTAGGACGACGCTTGGAAATAAAAAATCCTTGCCTCGCTTTCTGAACAGTTTTTCACGTTTCTTTGATAAGGAAAACGTTCACCTTTTCCAACATTGTCACAAAATCGCCCACATTGTACTTCATAATTGATTCTAATTCACTTGGTTTAAACCTGTCTGACTTCAGATCAGTTAACTAATCGATGCCAACAGGGATCTCGGTTCCATTGTGTGATTTTCATGCTACAACAATAGAAGAAAAATTGACTTGAATACAATGATCGTTATTGAAATATTAAATATTTTGACTGTAAGCTATCATCTAACTGGTATATAAAGGTGTGCATGTGCTTAGCAGGCATTCACAATCACTGCAAAGTATGGTTTCACTTGTCACGGTCTCCTTTTTGGTGAGTAGAAATTTGCACTTACCGTTATTTTCTTAAAGAATTACTCAGCGAGTGTTTTTAGGTGCTTCTAAGCACTTCTGGACATGCATGTAAGTAATTTGCAAGAAAATATTCATCTTCTAAATGGAATACTACTGAAAGGCTCAAATTCTAGCTATGTGTCCAGACAATAACGGAATGTCCGATGAAGTAAGGCAGGCTTTCCTTGACAAACACAACGCGTATCGGTACGTTTTTTCATTAATGCAACGAGAGCCTTGAGCACAAGATAGTCACTGAAATTGCCTAGGACACTCGTTGCCAAAGGCGAAGCAAAGAACGGAATTGGTGGTAATGCTCCGAAGGCAGCTAGGATGCTGAAAATGGTATGACAAAAAGGCTTACCGCAGCAAGACAGGGATTATGTGTACTTCGCACGAAGAACTAGGAGAGAGGGTCAGTAATGCTAAATTACAGAAGTACGATTGCGCAATTGAAGAGAACACAATGAACTTTGCCAAGAAGTGCGTATTTGCGCATAATTCATATGCTGACAGGAACTATTGGGGCCAGAACCTTTATATGTCGTCTGTGCTCAAACAAAATAAGACAGTGGCAGCAGTCGAGGTGAGAAAATCCAAATTCTGTGGCAATTTGCTATCAAAGACTTTTGTTTGAGAGTGTCGATCTTTGGTTCGATGAACTAAAACAACATGGAGTTCCTGATGACAATATAATGACCATGGCAGTTTTCAATCGTGGCGTTGGTCACTACACTCAGGTGAAATGGACAACTGTGAAAGGTGATGATAGCTGGCTAAAAACGTATGTGATCTTTTGAGGTGGTCTGGCAGTGGAGCAACAAGATCGGATGCGCAGTGGAATGGTGTAGTGACATGACCCTTGCTGCATGCGAGTATGACTCAGCGTAGGTGTAATTTTTCGCAGACGGAGGTTATGTCTTAGTGAATTTTATAGAAGAATTTCAGAGGAAACTATCTTGGTCAACTCATTTATGAGATTGGTAACCCATGCACAAAGAATGAGGACTGCAAATGTGATAACTGTGTTTGTAACAGAGAAGAAGCCCTCTGTGTTGCGCCATAGCATGCAATCTTAATAAACATTTGAGAATATGTGAATTATCGCTGAAGTAAATTTTATACTCTTATTTTCTCCCGAAAATGTTTGCTTCACCTTTCGAATCTAGTAGAAAAAAAGAAATAAGCGTTCCTACAATATGGCGAAGAGAAAAACCTTTCTGTTATTCGAATTTTATATGTAACATTCAAAGCCCATATAAAGACTAAGGGAATTGGTACCATTCGTCGATTTGAGAAAACAAAGCAAGCGAAGATAAGAAGAGGTTTTTTATCTAATTCATCTGTCATAATCTCTCCT